TAACCTCTTCTCATACATCCAACATAACCACAGCATTACAATGAGGCACCAGGGTTTAATAGAAACGGGTCACAGGAGAACTTTTACTAGTTTGACTTTACAGACTTTCTCGTTTCGAAACGGACTGCAGCAGCCCGGCTTTCTCTCCGGCTGACAGGACGGTCTTCCTTTTCGAGCTTTCCGTTGCGGGTTGATCGACTTCTCGGCCTCTCTTCCTGTTCGCCTCGGCCCCTTTTTTCCGTCTTCATATGGAACTCGTTTGTGAGTCAAACGCTGCAGAGCTGACGGCAGTGTTGGCCGAATGCACTCGCTGCTGCCGTAAGCAGTTCTGGGACACTTTTCTCCCACCAGCCGGAGAAAGGAAAAGCATTAGTCAGATATGAAGCCATCTGCTAAACCAGTCAATTAACAAATCAGGCCGTCGCATGTTTACATAGGGCTGAAGGAGGAGGATGTAAGGGGATATGTGTGTGTTGTGGTTCAGGGTTCAGCCAGACGGGGTTTTGAGTCCCTGCAAAGTTTACAGACCGAAAGGTTTGTAAAATTGTAAAAGCAGAAAATATTTGCAATATTTTACTATCCAAGTTTAAGTAAAGTTTGTGTAAAGATAAAGAATATGTGCTTCGCGCTCTGTTTTTCAAAGTGACTCGAGGCATTGTTCCTTAACGTATTTAGCTATTGTGAAAGTAGTGTATTCTTGTTTTTGCGGAAAATGGAATGGAAAAATCTTTAGTGGCACAACAGCAATAAAACCCATATAGGAAACCATGTGTAAATTCAGACCGGCTTTTGACATTTTCCTTCAGTTTTATTTTTTTAAAATTGTCATTGGTAATGCACATTAGGTCTTTGAGACCCTAATCTTTGACAACTTCTTCCAGATAGATGAAATAACTTTAAAAGGAAATCTTTCAATTTTGAGCTTAACTATATTGGTTTGAAATTTAAACTACTGATTAATATTACAACTAATTAAGGTTTACATAGATGTAAAAAATGGACAAATTAAAGGGGCAGTGTTGTGTAAAATCAACTTTTTTGAGCTGTACATCGTGTAATAATGTTCCCTCATCAAAAATACACCTGGAGATTTGCCTTGATTCTTTCATGCATGTTTGAGAAATCCCTTCATCTCCATGACAACCATTCAGCTGTGCAAAACATCTGGGTGGACCTAGCTCCGCCTTCGAGACGCAGCTCCTCCTCAGAGCTGCAGTTTGTAATCTTCAACGTTTCCGGCTCACAATGAAGCTCCTCCAGACTACCAGCAGCAATTAGCAAACACCTGATGGAACTGCTGAGCTCGCTATATGAGCTTCTTCTCTGTGCAACGCCGGTAAAAACGTTAAAAGAGGAGCCTTGTTGTGATGACTTCCTGAAGGCGGAGTTTCAGAAAGAGCACCTTTAAAGAGACAGAGGCTCAATTTCAAAAGTGCTATATTATTTAATTTTGTTTAAATCATATTTGATACATGCGGTATTTTTATGACAATGGAAGGTAACAGTAACTTGATTGTGCTATAAAATGGCACTGTGAGTGGAAAAGATGCTTTGTGTACAATTTATTATTATTTACTAACTATTTTAGTACCAAAAGAACAGCGTGATTTTTTTTTATCCACAATTTTTTCCACGATGTTTAGTGGGGTACTCTTAAAGAGTCCTCTTAAAAAGAAAGTGTAAACTCCTTTGCCAGTGGAACTGGTGGTGAGATGTTCGCCTCGGTCGACGAGGGAGAAGGTGAGAGAAACTGAGCCTGAAAGGGAAAAGGAAAGCGAGCCCTTCTGCTGCTCCGCCGCTTTGTTTTTTTAACCCAGATTCTCTGCTGAAATATGGCCACCATGTGGACCCTCTCAAGTCGCGTAGCTCCAGCTGTGGGCTCGGCCAATCAGACGTGGTTCGGCTGTCCTGGAGGAGGGCTGTGGGGAGGGTCCCGCAGTCGGAGCGGGAGGGGACGTTTTAAAGAGTGTGTGCAAGAGAGGAGAGTCATTGCAGAGGAGCAACATCTCATGGAGAACTGGAGGAGACCGATGGAGACAGGTCGGGCTGTTTCCTGGATTTTCACTCTCGTTTTCCTGTGCTGAGTTCTTCGTTTGACTGAGACGGCTCTCCAGGTTTTTAGGAGATTTTTTGAAGCTTCTTGGCTGATGTGACATAATATAAAGTTTAAGCCTTTAATTGGAACTGCACTGAATGTTGAGCAGATGTGCAGAGATGTTGGGACAGACTCGTTTCGTCAGGGTGGAAAATCTGACCTGTGATGTCATTACTACCATCCCAGTCTGTAATTTTCCTTAAATAATATCAGGACCAAAGGTTTTTATGTGGGCCACAGTTAGACATGACAGCTGTGTTTTCTTTGAAAGAGAACGACTTTTGTCATTGTTGCTGAGTTTTGAGACTCTTGGTCGATTTTTCTTGATGAGATTTCACCAGACGTCGCTACTGCAGGTCTGATGCCCTCGGTGACTGGCAGCTTCCTGCGTTCCCCCTCAGCGGCTGCCGGGGCCTCTCATTCAAACACATCCTCGCAGACTATAAACACTCCTTTTGTTTGATGTCGTAGCTTTCCTTGCGTGCTACAAAGGAATCAGTGCGAAAGCGAACAAATCTAGTTATTTGTAGCGGCGCTGGATGAGTTTTAGTGGTGAACGTTTGAGCTCCCCTGATGGATCGACTGCCTCTTAACTCTTCCACCAGCTCTAGGCAAACACTCACCATGGTGACGCGTGACTCCAGTCCTGACAAGTCCATAGATATGCAGATTGCTTCCTGTCGGTGGTACTGTGGAAAGGCGCTTCCTGCTGTGTTGTTGCAGTGAAAAGAGAACAACTCTGTGGGCTGTCTGAACAGGGGTTGTGCACCTAGAGGCTTTAAATGGGTTCAGAGTGAAATGATCCAGAACCAGGAGTCTCTTCTGCTTTCCCTGGTCCTGTTTGGTTGTACTTTTTAAGGTATAACCTTTTTAAGGTGTTTGAACTATTAAAAGAAGCAATTATAGGCATTTCTTTGAGAGGTTTCACAACTTTTAGCTGTTCTTGGATGGCTGTGGTTCCTAATCCATTGAATACTGGAGTCCACTGTAAATATCTTAGGGAGGCCTTAAGTATCTTGCGATTTCCTCAATTTCCTTATCTTGTGTCCAATTGCTGTCAGGGTAAAATAGTTTTTTCTTGATTCCTCCACTGTTGTATGTTTGAAACTTTTAGTGTGAAGTAAGAAAGGAAGTAAATCTTGGACTATCTCATTCTACCAAGAGTCGACTAAGAAAGACTCATCATCCCATTGGTTGGCAACGGTTACTTAAATCCTTGAAGAAACATTTTGAGTCATTTAATTTGAGTTCACAATAGAAAAACGTTGTTAGAGTGACAAATACTAGGAATAATTTAGAAGCGCTGGGACTGTCTTTAGGCAGAAAATCTATCAAACCAGAAAGACTGAGCTGCCTTTTACGGCTAAAAGAGCATTTTCAATCTTTTTTAAGTGTTAGGACACTCATAGAGTTAGATTTGTATAAAAATCTGACCCAGAATACTCTAGACTCATTATTGAAAACAATGTTTGTAGTTTGTGGAGAAAACCCCTACTAATGTTTCCCAAAGCTTCATTAAAGTCTTGTATTTTCATGAATTCAGTATTATACACAACCTATTCTTATGAACTGGGTGTATTATAACACTGCTGCTCTTTAGCTTAGTACCAAATATAGAGTTGTGAATCTTGTACCAATTTCAGCTTCATCAGTAAGATAAGATGTTTCAACACATTACTGTACAATTATCTTGTCAGCTCTTGAATTTTTTTCTACGCTGTAGAAAATGTTACCACAATACCATTTTAAAACCAGCTAAAATATACTTCACTATTATTTTTGTCAGATGAAATCATATTCAATGTAAACAGCAATTTTTGATCCTTGCTTTTTTGCAATGAGAACTTTAGTCATATTTTGATATTGCGAGATCGTCTCGTCACATAGGAATTTGATTGTGTCATTTAGCAACTAATCAATACTTTGACTGTGTCCAGGTCAGCTAAGCAAAAATAGTGGAAATATGTTTTTATTCTGAGTTTTTGTTGACATACCACAACATAATCCACGCAGTAAAAATTCAGATGTCTTTGAAAAGTAAGGGAATTTTCGCAAAAGCTGCAGCGTTAAATACCGTCACATTTAATGTCAACAGGGTAAAGTGTAATTAGATTAATATTCAAGCAGGCAAATTTATGACTTTATGAATATCTGAAAAATAACAGGATCTCTCACTGGTACCAATCAAATTTAAGCAAGCAAACTTTAGTTAAAAAACAGTGGTTTTTCACCACTGGCACCGACCGATCCACCGCAGTGCACATTATTGAAACAAATGTTGAGAGAAATCCACAAAAACACATTAGCATGTTTTTCTATCTGATTGGTTTGGCTTTACAATGAAAGTTGAGTTTTTTCCTTAAACTGACTCCATGCTGAGTCACGTTAAGGATGTGACTCAGTGCTTTCTGAAACATCAACTCTAAGGTCTTTGAAAGCTATTGAAGCCTTTTATTCTCCTTGATGACAATAGAAATCCATCACTGTGAGATCTGATGGAGATTTGGTAGATCTCTACTCTCTATGGGAAATTAAGAGTTGAGTTGACATCCCGTCTTCAATTTGTGATCTGATTATTTGATTAGTGGAGCTGGCGACAGTTCAGGGGTCTGCTCACATTAGTTCAAAGGAGCAGTGACTAAATTAAATGTTACTTTGTTAATCCCCAAATGAAATTAGCTAACATGATTACTCTCCTTTTTTGTTTCATTATCAAAGTACTTAATTTTTGTGGGACAGACTGTAAACAGTCATATGTAGACACTAATTTTTTAATCTTCTGCCACCCTTCAACAAAACTAATATATATATATATATATATATATATATATATATATATATATATATATCACTGTATCATCAGCGTAATGCATCACATGGTAGCTGTGTAGCATCATCCTTGTTGCAGGTCTAACACGGTTCAACATCTCACAGAATCATTGCCCTCCTTTTATCCTTCTGATCTTTAAAATTCATCAATTAACCACAGCAGTCCACACTGTTGTCCTGCCTGGAAACCCCTGATTGTCTTCTGTTTCTGGGTCCGTCTCGGGTTTCCTGCGAGCAGTTGCCTTCGAGCTTTGGGGGGCACATGTGTCAGATGTTGAGAGTCCTTTAAGTAGTGGCGGTCATGGGGATTAGAGTGGGAGGTCAGTGGGGTAGTTGCTGCAGTCTGAGGGTTTTAAACTCCTCTTTGGATGTAAACTGAACCTCGAATAATCCTCCGTCTCCCCCCCCGGTTACTCAGAGTATTAGGGACATCATAAATCCAAGTCGAGCCTCACTTAGATGAACCTCTCTATCTTGGGAAACTTGGGTTCAGACCCGTCTGTCTGGGAGCTCTTGGCAGACGTCTGGGCACATGTTGCCACAAATACCAGGCACATTAACGGAACTGGACTAGTTTTACATCTTCTAATCCCCTTTCGAGACGAACCTTAGGGAAGCAAGGTATTGTGCCTCTAGCTGGCACGCGATTCAATCACATCGCAGCTAGGTGAAGGTCAAAGGTTAAACGTCCAGGTCGTGCACGCTCCATATTCCCCCAGCTGGTTTGGATTCTTTCAGCTCCGGTGTGTTTTCCAACTATCTTCCTGTCAGTGAGGAATTAGTCTTCACAACGGGCCGGCAAATGTTTGACCCCGACCCCTTTGGACGGCCCGTTCGTCTCACGTCCTTGCGTCAGGCCGCTTCTCTTGTCAAAACACTGTCGAGACATCAGCTGTATGAGTTCGAGAGGTGGAGCGGAGGCTTTGAAAGAGTCCTGCCTTTGTTCCCGGAGCTTTTCATGGTGAGGCAACGAGAACACTTGTGATTCATGGAGTTAACTTTAGTCCAACTCCAATGGAGTCGGCTGTCTGCGCCCGATCTTATGAGCTCATCTGTTTTACACAATCCAAACATACACAGTGCTAGTTTGTGCAAACACACACACACAGACACACAGACACACACACACACACACACACACAGACACCACCCTGCATAAGACCACAGATCTGGGTCACTTTGTCTGCTGGAAGAAAAAGGCTGGTGTTGATATCGCCACAGGATGACGTAGATCAGAGCGCGCGCTTCCATGTGTGCGTGTGTGCAAAGCTCTTAAAAAAATGAAAAAAAACACACACACACACACACACACACACACACTTGAGATCTGACCACAAAGGGACCAGCATTCCTCGTATCCCTTGCTGGGAGGGATCACCGGGGACCGAGGGATGGAAACCTCTCAGTGCGGCCGGCACACGTGTCAACAGCGGTCCCCTGCTCTCTCTGCTGCCCTGCCAAACTCCGGTCGGAGAATGACTAACAGACTCCCAAGAGGCAGCAGGGAAACCGAGGCAGGGAGAAGGAAAAAAAAAAAGTAGACTCAAAGAGAAGAAACAGCTTTGAGATTTGGCCCAGAGCTGTATTTATAACATGAGCACAAAGGCTTGTATAAGCACCTTTTAATCTTCTCTGGCATCCCCACTGCTCTTTTAATGTGCGCTCAGCTTACATTTGTTAATGCCTCTCATAGATAAAATCTCATACTTTTGTTAACTCACTGAAAGTTGGCTTGTTTTGTCTCCAGAGGCCTTTTGGGGATTCTTCTTAGGGTTTGGATAGAGACCCCATGAAACGTCCTTTATTCTCTTCCAATTAACCGGAATCTGTCGTTTCAATCACTCGACTGAGAAGAACTGTTTTACAGCCCAATAAATCACGCTAAGCTACATAATCTATGAAATTTTATACAAATTGTCGATTTAAGGAAAATAACTCCGGGAAAAGCTTATGTTACAGTTGGAACAGCATGAGAAGCTCAAATTTGGAAAGAAATCCAGTTGAATAAGTTGTTGCTTTGTCAGGAATTGCTGTGTTTCACTAAACGGTTGCCAAAGATGACAGCTTTTGCAATCTTTTTGGTGATGTGTGTGAAGCAGCGTTTACTAGAAAAGTCAAGAACTTCCCAAATATAAAGCCCTTACAGTCCCCTTGGATAACGCGCCGTTCCCACCAGAGCGTTGGAGCTACTAATCAGATTAGCTTCATCGCCTTTTCAGAAAGAACGCAGCCCACAATCTAATCAATGCACTTGTTTAAATAGGAACGGTAATGACAAGTATGAAGCTTCAGCCAGACACTGTGTGGCTGAAAACTGGCAAATGTTGAACAGTAGTTTAGCTGCCATGACACACATTTCCATTTTTAGCAAAAATCCCTACAAAACAACACTTAGACTGAGTTGGAGAAATGAAATGTCTCTTTTTCAGTTGAATTGTTGGAGTTTGGTGATGCTCGCTCGCTCTTTGGGTCATCAGGCGTAGTTATTTACTTCTCCTGCTAGCTTTGTCCTAAATAAGATAGTTGTTACAATGGTGAGTAATAAACTATGTTAAATACAAATATGACTTGAAGATAATTCCAGGATAAAGAGACAAGAGGAAGGAGCAATCCTCAGAGGAAGCATTTGGAAGAAGTAGTCACTCATCCGTAAAAATTCAGCTTTAACCGTATGGGTTACGATTCAAGTACACCTGTATGCAGATGACATGCTTTGCTGCTGATTCGACCACTTCAGTAGTGGAGATGTCTTGAAATCAGCAGTTTGTCGGTTTGAATCCCGCTTCCTTCACAAGTCGATGTGCCTTTGGTCAAGGCACTTTTGCCTAAAGTCGCCTGCTGTTCTGCGTTTCGGCGTGAATAAAGAGCATTTGTGGATGTGTCTGCAGTGTGACGGGAAAGTCACATGATATTTATTAGCTCTGAAGGCAAAAGGAGATGGAACTCTGTGCTGGTAAAGTGTTTGATGATGATGAACAGCGGACCGTCTTGGGCAGAGCTGCTGCGGTTAGATGAAGGGTAAATAGAGTCAATAAAAATGTCACTTCCTGACTCTAGTGCCCCTGATTCAGCAGAGTTGATGCACTGAGGTTATCAGCAGTCACGTGACAGCCGGTCGGCCGTTATCCTATCATCCGTTGGCTGACCTCAGGTCAGCTGTGTGGGCTGCCAGATGAGAGGCCCCAAGCTTGTTTTTCTCAGTCTGCATCCGCTCGTCGTTCCGACGTTTCCCCGTCTATTTTAACCTCCCCATCTCCTTCTCCACAGTGTGCGCACACAAACACACAGCCAGACACGCACATAAATTTTCTCCTTTTCATTTTTACAACTTCAGTCGACGATCCGCAGGGAGTAGGAAGCAGCCTGAGTGGCCTGATCACAAATCCTTTAACATAAACAAAGTGAAAAGAGAGAAGGGCCCTTTTGAAACGAACTCATCTTTCCACAACTCATTAGATCCCCTCTCTCCCCTCCCTTCAAGATCTACACCAGCAGCCTCCCTTCCTCCTCTCTCTGCTCCTCCCGCACACTTTTCCTCAACCTCTGCACGTCTTTCTTTTCCGATCATCAAAGCGGGAAGCCGTATCGAGTCCCGGGCTCCCTCAGTACGCGGCACAAAAACTTGCCGCTCATCTATGAGCTTCTTGCATACGTGCAATTACATTTTATGCATGCAATTAGAGCGCTCACTCATGTTCTTGTTTCCCGGTGTTTTTTTTTTTCTTTTTTATCTCTTAGGTGTGTCTGAAGTGACGCCAGCGGGCTGGGTGAGGCAAAACGACTTCAATACAATGTAGACACCAAACACCAGTCAGCAGAAGAGTCTGAAGACCACGCTGACAGAAGGAGGGTTGGCCCAGAGGAGGACGGAGCGACAGCTGTTCTGAAACCACTCCGGCGGGAGATAAGAAGAGTGAAACAACTCGCAAGGGGACAAGAGGGACGCTGCGGACTGTGAATCATTGATGTGAACCTTGGTGTGTCCTTCCTGCGAAGGGGTTTGCCTTGTTCCCACGTCTCCTCCGGAGGAAGGACCGTAAACCTCAGCTCGGCGGTGTTTACGAGAGAGGTGGCCCGCGCGCGTTTCTCGCCTCTCAGCACCCGTCGGTATCCCTGAGCGGCCGTCAGCCATGTGCCATGTCATTGTCACCTGCCGCTCCATGCTGTGGACTCTGCTGAGCATCGTGGCTGCCTTCAGCGAGCTCATCGCCTTCATGAGCACTGACTGGCTGGTGGGGTTCCCCCGCACGCACGACTCCGTCTACCCCCACCTCGCCACGGCGGCCGGCGAGGCCTACAGGCCGACTCTGGGGATCTACGGGCGCTGCATCAAGCTGGCCCACATGCAGCGGGGGATACTGTGCGGCCCGTACGCCGTTCACTTCGGGGAGATTGCCAGCGGGTTCTGGCAGGCCACCTCCATCTTTCTGGCTGCGGGGATCCTGCTGCTGTGTGCCGTGGCGTTCATCTCCATCTTCACCATGTGCTTCCAGAGCATCATGAAGAAGAGCATCTTCAACGTGTGCGGACTGTTGCAAGGGATCGCAGGTGAGAGGATCTTTTTTTTTGGGGGGGGGATCTGAACACGTTTCACTGCCTGTTCGGTGGTTTCAGATCTGTTCTTATTTCCAAGATGGTGTTGTTCAGGTACAACTTAGGCTATTAATATAACCAAGACAAACTACTGTAGTGCATGATTATAGAGTGGACAGATAGCAATACATGGATTTAATGGGGTTTTTTGTTTGGTTTTTTTATTTTACAAATAATGTGTGCATATTTAGTCAGCCTGCAGTTTTCTGGACTAAACTTGGCTCCATCTGTCTTCCCATTAAATTTAAATTTATCATGACTATTTTCTGCTTGTGGGCCAAAAACTTCACTTTTGATATCATCCGATCAAAACACCTTCTGTCACATGTTTGCTGTGACCCTCAAAGGCAAATTGAATTCGTATATCTTTCTTTCCACCATGGCTTTTTTCTTGGAATCATTACAGCTAGACTTTCATGAAGAACAAAAAAGCAGCTTTTAAGGAAGTATTGATATTCTGTCAACAGATGGTCCCACCAGAGCTGTGGATCTCTGCAGCTCCTCCAGGGTCACCGTAGAGTCCTTGGCTACTTCTCATATTAATCAGCTTCTCTCATTGAACAAAACTTGGGGGGGAAAATGGTTAAATAAGCAATCTCAAGAATGTGGAGAGTTTTGTGGGTTTTTAAGCATCATTAATTGTGACACTGATCAAAAGTCTGATAAGAAATTGATCATGATAACTGAACCAATACGATAAATGACAAAGACAAAATGTGAAAAACTTGACAGGGTGTGAAGTCTGAAGCAGTATGACTGTTTCCAACCACATAATCAGTACACATCCCCCAGCTAGACGCCAGACATTTTCAGCACCAATCTCCATAACAACAAGCTTTTTGTTTTTGTTTTTGTTTGACACATTTTTCAGCATAAACCTTAGTCAGCATCCGATTGGCCAAGAACCAATTTCAGCCCAGGTACGCATGCTCCAATATGCATCGGTTCCTCTTGACTTTAGTTCAGATATAAATAGAGCCGCCTGGTTTCCCCCGAGCCGTATTGTTTCTGTTCATTCCTGTGGCCTCCGGCGTTCATCAAGGTAAATGAGAAGCTCTGCTCGAAGCTAAACGCTTCATTACTGGCTCCACAACTCCCACTGCTGGAATTATGTGTTTTTATTCTACTGGAGCCATTTTGGGGCAGGGAGGTGGGGAGACTTTGTCTCGCGCAGGAAATGAAGAGACGAGTAAGACGTTTTCGTCGTCACCTGGGGCGACCGTCGCCCCAAATGTTTACCCGGTCAGCTGGAGCCCTTTCAGACGAGACGCACGCATGCGTATCTGTTTGTATACGCGACTGAGGGAAGAGCTGAGGCCACTTTGACATGACGAGGTGAATTATAGAGGGGAGGAGGCCTTGAGGTCATGCTTAAAGGAGCGGTCTCTCTCTTCACCCCCACCGGTGATTATGGCTGTCCTCCCCCGCTGTTGTTTATCTGGTGCGGGGCCAAAGAGAAAAGCTGGGCGAGTGGTGAAGGACATGCTGAAATGCTGTAAACTGGGCCCTCAGAATCCACCGAAACCCATTGAACTGGTCCAAGACAAACAGCCGGTATAACAGTGAGCTTAAAATAACTCAACATAGGTGGAGGTTTTATTGAGCGCCTTGCGAAAGTTAGTCATACAATTCAATATTTTTTTCACAACTTGTCATATTCCTGATTCTAATTTCAGTGTATTTTGACATCTTGCCTCAAATTCTCAAGTGGACTTTGACTTGGCCACAGTGGCAGAAAAGTATAAGAAAATGTGAGACAGATTACATTTTTCAAAAGAAAAATGTCAAGCATGGCGGCGGTATCGTCATGCTGTGGCGCTACATCCAAATTCTTTATCCGAACCTCAAATTGTCAGCTCCACTGGAAAAAACAGAGAATGCAGCTCCAACTTAATAAAAAAAGTAATCATTAACTTGACAAGTTAATAAATGAACTTCAGTGAACCTAGTTTGATCACTTGTGACACAATATGTTTAAGTTTTATCACCTGTTCTCTTATCAGTGCAGATGACGGGAACTTAGACAGAGCTGGGTTATGTAACAGAAATATTACCCCAAGAATACGGGAAAGCTAGCTTTGGATTGGCTAAATTATGTTAATATTTGGCTTGTTTAATGGTAACATCTCTTAAGCCTATTTAAGATGTATGAATCTTTCTTTTATAAAAACGGAATCTGTAATGATCCTCACCAATTCTGACAATAAGAGTAGGCAAATAACCTACCAGAATCATGACGAAGTTGCAAAAGTAATGTGTGCTGAGGCATAGTGTACCTACAGAATATCTAACCAAATAGTCTTGCTGGTTTTAGAACCTATTTGGACTACAGAACGTCCACAGTAACATCAGTTTTCTTGTTTTTAGACCTTTTTTGTTGTATGTCCTCAGAACAATCATTAAAAGCCGAACATTTCTGGCTTTTATGTCCATGATGTCGACTTTTAACCAGGTCCGTCAATTTTCCTGCCTCCAAGTTTTGAACTAAAACTGAAACAATCTGCACTGGTGGATAAGTTCAATGACTTTACTGGCCGTCGCAATGAATTCGACTAGAAAAGTGTGAAAGGGTGAAAAGATCCACGGCCTCTACTTTGAGAAATCGTTGTTTGTAAGGGACGAGTCGGTAAAGTCAGGCAAAGGCCTTCGTAAAACTCTGCAGGTGCAAAAGTAAAATCATCTCAGACTCATCGCTTGAAGAGCAGTGACAGCAAATCCTCTCTGACTTTCTTTACCAAATCTGTGCAGACAACATGCAGCTCAGTCAGGATGAGGATGTGGAAACGAGGCAAAGGGAGCTTCGAACATCGAAACGAGGCGACCGAGTTTCCCTGCAGCTGAACTCTGATCACTTTTCCCATTCCCTCATTTCACTTGAGTGGGTTGAAACCGGAGCCGGCCCGCCGCCTGTCGTGTCACTATAAATGTTTCTGTTGATTCGCTCTTCCTCCAGCATCAATCATTCATTAGTGCGTTTCACAGTCTTAAACATAGTTCATTTCGTGAAGAGTTTGGCGGGTGATAATCACTCCGGCTGATATCTACCGAAGAGACCATATACCACGTCAACTTTCTTTTGCTAATGATTATTTCCAGAAAGCGTACCGTCGCCGTGGTAATGAGAAAACTGGAACCAGACGGCAGATGTTTGGGAAAGCGATTGACCTCAGATGGGAAGATTGCGACACAGCTGCCAGAGATGGTCGCGTCATTGCGCTGGAGTGACTCCCAGTCCCATTAGCCTCATCTCCACATTACCCCGATGTCACCCGGACCCCTGTGACACACGTCCCGAATGCTGCCGCGTCTCGCAAACCGTTTAAAGCGACTGCGTAGGCTTGGGTGGTTTTAAGACTAGCAGAAAGACTCGAGCAGACTTCTCCTAGAGGGTCGGTCGGCTGAGCCTTGCATCCTGGCGGCGCACGTTTTAAGGGCCCCCAAAAGGCTTATTATGCAGCAGTTAGACTACCTATAAGTGAACCTATTTCCACGTTTACTGAAATCCCTGCCTCACTGGAGCAGGAAAAGGATTAGAGACGAGACGCCAAACAAACTCAGCTGTAAAACTGTCTCTGATTCCTGTGTGTTTGCTGCTGTGTGCCTTTATTAGCCACTATAAAGTTTCCTCTGGCCCTGAGTCACAGGGCCTGTTGCAGGTTTACGTACAGAGCTTGACGAAACTCCAGACTGGAAGCAAAGCAACGAAACACCCTCCAGCAGGAGTTTAGGGCTGTGTGTTTATCACTGACGGAAGAAATCCCACTTCATGTAAAGCAGAGAAGCAGACGCGTCAGCTCTGACTAATAGAAAAACAGCACAGACAGGTCTTTAAGAGCATTTCCTGGATATCTGTGTTTACACCGCAGGTGTGGTACTTGGTGTGGAACAATGAAGATAAAACTGGGCCTGACAGACCCAGATAAGGAAGTTATTATTGCCATGGCGATGACTCATGAGCATTGAGTGGAAATACTCATGAATGTTTTCCTGAGAGGATAAAATTCAAGTTTTATTAGAGAATATTTAATTTGCTTATAGGTGAAGTATGCAACTTTTACAAAAAGATATTTAAAAAAAAAAAGAAGTTAAAATTGTCTCAATATTGTGACAGTTTAGTATGAGACAGATAATTTGTCAAAAGATCTCCTCTCAGTTATTATTGAAGAAATGCACAGCTCCCGACCAAAAACAACCAATCAGAGCCAGGAGGCGGGTCTTAACGCTGTCATCCAACCTCATGTACTTTTACCACCTTTCTGCTTCAATTCATTTACAATTTATAGAACAATCAACAATCTATGTTTTTTCTGTTCAGTAGGTTGTTTATTTGAGTGTCGCACATAGTAGATTAGTATGCAGAATGAAGAAAATCATGTTCTGGCTTAAATCTGATCACCAGTTGGTGGGAACACGATCCGTGGTATGTGTTGAATATAACACAACCGGCATTAATGGAATATAAATAAACACCTTTCCCCTATTAAGTACTCTATCAGGGTTTAATGCCCAATAGCATCAATAAAAAGCAAATTTCAGTTCGTAATATACAATCTTTTTTTTTCTGTTTTATGTATGGGTGTTATTTTTGAGGTTGAACAACTGGAAATCCAAAAATATTTATGCATCAAGTTTGAAAAACCCAACTTGAGGTGTTTTTTTTTTTTTGTCAAATAAATTTATACCACAGATGCCAGTTCTTCTACACTTTGGTGCAAAATCGTAAAAAGTCATAACATGCCTTTCTAAATATCGACTACCAGCCCCAACCCCATTCCAGACTTCCTATTTATTCCCCGAACGGAAGAAAATTGGCATTGAGGGAATGGATCGGCCGCTATCAGAGATGGACTGACGGCGGAGAACTGACAGTCTGGAAGCAGCGCAGATAAGAGCCAGTGCAAAGGGTTATTGAGGCTAAATGAGGGCGGAGCTCAGTAGGATATTAGGTTAGAGAGTCCAGTTTGAAGGTGGAGGAGGTGGCGGGGGTTGGGAATGACTGCATGTATCTGTCTGTGTGTGTGGGGGGGGGGGGAAGCGGGGGGGTCGGTGGAGGGGTGGGGTGGTGTTGGGAATTAAAACCATGCCTTCAATCCATCACCAGGCCTGGCCTGGACGTCGGGGCAGTGCAGCAACATGTGGAAAGAATTTATGACCTAGTTTTCATTTCCTTGTTTAATGTGATATTGGGTGCTTGAAGAGAGAGGAGAAAGAAAGGAAGCGAGGAGAGAGGAAGAGGGATTAAGAGAGACAGAGTTTTACCTCCTTGTTTTACAGAAGCAAAATAAGACCGGGTACAGAGGGGGGAGGAAGAGGGGGTGAAAATATCACAGCTGAAATCCTCATTTCCTGTACGTCTCACCGGGTCTCTGTAACTGGTTACTATGAATGTCTTCCCCCTGAGCTTCGATTGGTAGCAGGCTCCTCGTCTGGCCGGCTGACCCATCCAAAGGGAAGCCGGAAACCTCGTGACTTCAAATCGAATTCAAATTCTGTTGGATCTGTAAGGTGTTGGTGTGCTGAGAAAAAAAAAAAAGAGAGAGAGAGAAAAAGCGGTTTGCTACTTTGACGACTTCCACTGAGACGCAGCACACCGTGCGGTTGGGTCGGCTACCTTTTCCTATTGTTCTCCGCTTTCCTTTGACAGGATTGCGTGTGAAGATTCAGGGGGTGGGCTGCTCTTTCCTGTCCTACTTGAGGGTCTTGCTGCAATTATGTTCAGTCGCATTTTTTGGCGGGAAATCAGGAAATCGTTCCATGCCTGGTGCAACCTTTTCTTTTTTTAAGTGTCGTAATGGGAGTTTGACGGGAAATGTTTTTGCTGTTCACAAATATTTTTGTCTGCAGTACCTCACAGCAGAGGCAGCTTGGAATCCCCTCAATAGGATTTTATGCGACATTAACACATGGAAATACAGCTAGATGCTAATGTTGAAGCCCAACTGAAAAGCTAAAGCTGAGTAAGCTAACTACTTCGCCAATGGCCAACACAAGGCAAACGTAATGAATGTAAAAAAATAAAAAAGTGACCTCTTTTTAACTTCTAAGCAATGACTTATTATGGGTTCAAACTGCTTGTTTCCATATTTCTAGCAACTGCTAAGTACTGCAGTGCTAATACTAGTTAGCTTGGTTGATAACCCCAGCAAACCCCAACTGGTTTTTTGCTTCTAGAAGTTGGTGAACTATAGTTTTGTTTACTGAGCCAAACTGAACATAACATGTCTGATTCTGGAACATGTCCTCTGCTGTCATTTAAGCTGCGTTTAATCACCAAACCCTCCAAGCCAACCACCCGATCCGCTCGTCTCCCCGCAGGTCTGTTCCTGATTCTGGGTCTGATGTTGTACCCTGCTGGCTGGGGTTCCGACAAAGTTCAGCTGTACTGCGGCCATGACGCCGCCCCATACCGCGCCGGGCTCTGCTCCATGGGCTGGGCCTTCTACACCGCCATGGGGGGCACCGTTCTCACCTTCATCTGCGCCGTCTTCTCGGCTCAGGCCGAGATCGCCACATCCAGCGACAAAGTCCAGGAGGAGATCGAGGAGGGCAAGAGCCTGATCTGCCTCCTGTGAGGGATGGAGACGCTGCGGCATTGTTTACCACTAAAAACCGACTCTTATTTCGTCTCTGTCTTGTGTCGATGTGGGAGAAATCTGCAAGTGCCAAGTTTTTTTTTTTTTTTTTTTTTTTATTTTTTTTTTGTTCTTTGCCATCTTTGTCCCTGTGACACCAGGAGGTGCTGTGTTTGTTATTGTATTCATGTGGTGGCTCTGCTGTCGCCACAAGTTCTGTAAATAAATGTGATTATATGTATTTTGTACATAGCTATGATTGCAGAATGATGGTCGCCTTGATCTTGGCTGGCCCGATGACATCACTCTTGCCACTCTTAAAAAAAAAAAAAAGAAAGAAATAAAGAAATTGTATCCTGGTGGTTTTGTCGCCAGATCGTACGACGGCGTATTAGGGCTGGTGTAGGTAGGAAAAAAGAGCAAATTTCTGCAAAACACCCCAGAAATTTTCTAGAAAATTTTTTTTTTCTTTTGGAACTTTTTTTTTTATTAAACTCAAAATTACTGAGTTTTTTCATGTAAATTTTTGACATTTAACTCTCAAATTTCCAAGTTTTCTTTTGGCCCAAAGCTACCTTTCTTTGTTAATCTACAATGGCTCTAATGCACTGTCATAATATCGCGACCAGCAAACCTGGTTCTTTTTGTTTTAACTGTGTGCCACAAGTGAGTATCTACTCATCAAGGGAACCACTACTCAGTCAGAATAAGCAGCCTTTAGCTCAGAGTGGATGTCCTTTTCGAGCTTCCAGAATGTACTATTTGAACGATTCATGTTTTTGTAGACCGCTGAAATGTATTGGTGGGAAGGATTCACTCGGGACTGCGGGAGGATGGTCCAATGGACGCTCTGTGAAGAAGGTTCTGGTCCTCGTTGGTCGGACCGCCTGGAATCCCTGCACAAAAGACTCGGACTGAACGACGAGGACGCGAGGAAATGAAGTATTGCTGTTGTTAGTACTGTCTGGTTTCAGGGAGCGTGTGTGTGTGTGTGTGTGTGTGCGTATGCGTATGCGTGTGTGTGTGTGACAAGTCGAAGATGGTGTTGTATCTGTTCTGATTTGTTTCTGCCAAACTAATAAAGAGAAGGGAAAACTGATGTCTGTAGTGGGTGTTTATCTGGCGGTGTGAGGGAGGAGACGCAGCGAGCGGAGCAGCCGGCTCAGCGCCGAGACCTCGGTTTGGCCTTGGAGGTGGGAAGGAGGGTGGGGGGCGGGGGGCTTCTTTTTTTTTTTTCCACCGGTGGGTGATCAGTTTTTCCACTGATGCAGAACTGAACTGTGTGTCTGCGTTTCTGAGGACAATACCACACTCTGTAGTCCGGTGTGTCCAACAGCGTCGTTTGGATCAATACTGAAAATATCAATACTCGATCTTTATGCTCTTGAAATCGATTCTCAAATGAAAATATTGGTATGCGTGGCACAAAATTAACACTACTTTGTCCTTTGACACTCCAACCCCCTGGTGAGACACGGTGGTGGCAGTATAAGGCTGAGAGAGTGCTTTTCTTCAACAGAGACAGAGAGCTAAATATGTCTGCCATAAAGAAGGACTTTGACCTTCAGCATCAAAAATTGTTGGGTTTAATATCTCATTTTCTCATTTGCTTTATAATAATGACACATCAGCAGCAGATCTGTAATGCACTAAACACTAAATGCAAAATGAGCCCATGACATTAGTATGAACACACACAGTATATGCAGTTTTCTTTTTTTGGACTGCCCCCCAAACCTTGGAGCCCTGGGTTACTGCCCTTTCTAAAGTCTAGCCCAGGCTACATTGCTGTTTTTGGTTTAAATCTTAAGATGTATTTCAGATCTGGGCTAAACCTGTCCCGTTTCCCCCCGTTCTACCCCTCTTCTTGTCTTTTGTGTGAATGAACACACAAAACACAAGCAGCATCTTCCCCCAGATGTTCCTCCATCCACGCGGCCAGCAGCAAAGCTGTTGGCACGACCCCGCAGCCCCCTTTTCCTCACCACAAGCTCAGTTCGAACGCGGCGGCGTCTGATGACTTCCAGATTGGGCACTTGATGAACCGTGCAATCTGACGAGCGCTGCAGAGAGTCAGGCCCAATTAGCTGCCAGACGCTTTGGGTTGATTTGCAATTTCAGAAAGCGAGGATGAAAGGAGCCAGAGCCTCTGACACTTAGCTTTTTCTCACACCTTGACGGACTCACGGCCACACACTGTAGGAATGAATGACTTAAAAAAGACTGAACTCAGTTTCTTGGATAATTATGTCACAAAGTTGCATTTTAGTTACAAATTCCCCCAACATGTAAATGTTTTTACGTGTGAATACAGTGTCACCATGATCATGAACTAAGCTGCAGTGTTTTAGAAAATCTATATGAATTCGCTATACAGATAAGTACACACTCCATATTTTTTTTAATATTTATTATAAAATATCTTAATCAACTTACATGTAATATTAAAACAAAATCATATAGTATAAGAACTTATTCCCAGGTATCTACCACGTAGTAAAAGTGTCCACATTTAGCTTTGGGGTATATGATGTCATATGCAAATTATTTCACACTGCCAGACATTTAAAGGGGCAGTATTATGTATTTTCTAGGCACATAGTGCACAATCAAGCAAATATGTTACCTTCAGTTGTTAGAAAAATGCTGTACATATCAAATATGACGTTGACGTTTAACGCCCTGAAATTGGGCCTCTGTCTCTTTAAAATCTCCTCCTCTTCCTGAAACTCCGCCTTCAGGAAGTCATCACAAAAACACTTCAACGTTTTTACCAGCATTGCACTGAGAAGTAGCTCCTGTAATGAGCTCAGCTGATGCAAACTGCTAACCATGTTAGGTTTCCTTTAATAATTTCAAATTTTCTATAAACAAGGACATTTCTAATTTCTACATTTCTAATTACAATTTTTTTATTTTGGGGTTTTCTTCTTTGGTTTGAGAAGGTTATAATCTAAAAACCAGATGGTGGCCCAGACAGTGTGAATGTTACCTCTGTGACCTCTGACCTGCAGCTTCAGCAGATGTCTCCATTAGCCGCTGCTTACCAGGAGAAATGAAGTTCCATGAACCGCACATTATTCCATCGCAAAAATAATCAATTTTCACATTTAACTTTTAATTGTTGTTGAACACGCATAAAGTTTGTTATTGATAACTGTAGTAGGTGATACTGGTAAGCATAGATTAAGTAGATACAACAAATAAAGGAAAGTTATTCTGTGATTTAAATACTGAAGTTCCTTATTTTAACCCAACAACATATTTTCACTAACATTTGTCAATATAGCTACAATAAATAATCACTTTAATAATATGTAAGTATGTTATGAAGTTTTATTATAGTGATATGTACTAAGCCTAAGCTGAATCACTTTCTGCAACCGTTCAGCTGTATTTGCCAAAGCTTTGGCAGCCATCTTTCTTTCACATCACAACTCATTTCCAGCCATGAACTTCAGATTCCAACATGCTAGTTGCATCAAAACAGCACAAAACAACAAACAAAAACAAACTAAAGACAAAAGAATTTTCAGCAAAGCAGAATCCTTCTCAGCTCATCGACTCTCAGCAGTGAATCAAAACAAACCAGCACACAAGAAGCCAAAGTGCTTTGGCCATCAGCAACAACCAGCAACAGTTCTTACTTTGAGATGTCTTCTGGATCCGCCATCGGAGCAGTTGCTTGACCTCTATAAATCATCAAAGTTGGGGTCCGCCGAAAAATAATTTACCTATCCAGATGTAGTGATTTCAAAACATGGCGCTCCAGTGGCCCACTCTTGGCTCTGATACTCTACAGGTGTGTTAAGATATCAAATTACTAGACCTAATCAACACAGACAATTTCAGGTTGGACTGCAAAAGTTTTCAGTTATTTAACGCAAGGCATCCGGGCGGATTCAGCGTATCAGGAGACTAGAAATAATTTTTAAACCGGGCTCCGGAGTTGATGAATATCAGAACGCCGGTTTCATGTCGCTGTGTTGCTGCTCCATGTTGATATCGCGCATGACACGTGCACCTGTTCAGCAGAGTTGTCAGGTCTGACAGTTTCCAGTAGAAACGCAATGTAATTTGCTAGTCCAAACAGTGTGCAAAAACAGTCCAAATCTAAACCTCAACCTCTATTAAACTTCATGTCAATGTATATATACTGAAGCAAAATATGAGAAATCACAAACTTCTAAACATGGATTAAAAAAAAAAGGCAAACAATATAAAAAGTCACGATTCGTTGTTCCAAAAATAAAATCATAGTTTACGGTTGTTTCAGGCTACACTCCGTGTCCAGTGCAACTTTTCAGCACTTCAAATTACATGCAGTAAAACAAGAACAGATGGAGACAGAGATGAGAAAAGGTGTAGATAATGATGCATATGAAAATCTTTCACATACATTATGGTGTTCCGTATGATTACTGTCCTCAATTCATTCATAATAAATCGGGTGTCAAATCCACCAACGCCATATCAGACATTGGTGGAAAACTGGTGACCTCTAGTGGTATTTAGCTGATATTACAAGTCCACTTTTTAATTGTTTTTGCATTTTAGAGGCAGACTACATTAGGTCGAAATGGCTGCAAAAAGAAACAATGGAACCCATACAGAAGGAGAATTTTATTAATTAGAACAATAAATATACAAAACTCAATCTCAAACTACAACACATGACTGAAGGTAAAACCAGTGTGCATTTTAAAATGACACCAAACCATCTGAGAGCATACAAAATATACATACAGTCCTTCTCCCCCCTCTAGTCATCAGAAATGGCTTAGAGATAAATTAAGTTCCAGTGTATATATCAAACCATGCTGACTGTAAGGAATAACCTGAAGCCACTGTGCATCTACATTAACACACTGCATAAAAGTTGAGCACTTCTTTCAGTTTTACCACATTATTGAAAAAAAAAAATCAGCAGGTAAGGGGAAATACCCTTCTTTCATGAATGACCTCTCGTTGCTTAGTAACATCATTGATGGGAGACGGACAGTAAATAAAGACTTTTTTTTATATACATCTTCCTTCAAAGGCTTACTGTGATACTTCATAACACAAACTGTGATGGAGGAGACATTCAAGCAATGGAAAGCACCTTGGGGCTCGTAATATCTCTAGAAAAATAGATATTCAAATGTTTTTTCTTTTAGAAGATAAAATGCACCGTTAATGCTTGATAACTGATGACTTCATCGGAGTCTGAGCTGTACTTCCAAATTTAAAGTGCCATGTTCTTTGGATTGCACAAAGGAAAGAACATGCCAAATGATACAAGCAAAAAACATGTCAGGAAAAAATAAAGATAAATAGTACATTTTTTCAAGGTCTGTTTCTGTTACAAAATAGGAGAAAAGTTTCAAAGCAAATGACATCAAATATTTCAAACATGTTTTTTTAACATACAAATAAAAAGATAGCAGTAAGGGGAAATGATAGGTTGGACAGGTGA